AGACAGATATTTAATAGAGTTCTTTTTTTACTTTACAATCACCTCGTCAAACGAACAAACAAATATACCAGAAATGAGTTAGAATTATTGATTAGTTTAAATTTAAATAATAATTAAACGTATTCAGATTAAGGTTATAGATTAATTTATATAAATATAATTAATTAGCCTATCTCAGAGTTGAAATGTAACAGAATATGTTCGAATAATGAAAGTTTAGCTGTGGTACTCGCAAATAGTATAAACCATAATTTTGAAACGCCGAAAATTTTAAGACGACTCACTCGAACGACTTAAAATCCCTGCTGAGCTGGCAGGCTCATCCAGGCAAGTCTACATGTGATACAAATTTACCGGATGCTGCCACGTATAGATAAAAGTATAAAAACTATATGTAATACGAGTAAAGCCATGAGGCGTCGGTGGTGTAGTGGTTAACATAGTTGCCTTCCAAGCAATTGTCCCGGGTTCGATTCCCGGCCGACGCACATTTGTTTTTTCAATTTTTTGTGATGGTTTTTCGTGTTAAATTTTGAAAATCTATCGGTAATTATCTCTCTTGTGCAATGAATATGAAAGGTTAGGCGAGACTTTTATCATACCTAGTTCAGCGCACCCTCTTACCGCTAAAATTGGTGATGAAATTTTAAATAATGATAGAGTTTTATTTTTGGCCAGTTAGCGCACCCTCCACCACGAAAAAATGGAAATTTCATTAAAAAACAAAAAAAAAAATAAATTTATTTTTTCCATTTCCCTGAAATCTCCCAAAATAAGATAGGCCTATATATATTTCTTCCTTTATTATATAAATTTAAAGCCTTTATCAATCTCATTAATACACTGATAATTCATTAATATAATTTTATTTTTATTTTCTCCTCCGTCTAGATGATTTTGGCAAAATCATTTTGCTAAATGAGAAAACAAAATTCTATTTTTATTTTTTTCCGCCCTCCTCTGACGACGATCTTTAAAAAAATAAGTTCGCGAATTAGGGTATTAAAAAGACTTGCCCTAGTTTACATTACTTCAATTTATATAATGTGTTTTTTGAATGACTAAATCTATGAATGAAATGAAAGAGTCAAGACTGAGTGGGGTGACGTTACTAGTTCCATGGAGTTGTTATAGTGACTATAGTGTGCTATATTTACTATAGAGATATACAAGTACATTACTATTGTGCTATATTTAAACTAGTAGATATACAAGTACCGGCGGACACTCCTCTTGGAAGAAGTATTAAATGGCTTACCCTGAAAGACAACTCGAGATTCTCAGCACCCCAAGTTTTGAACCCAGAATCATACGATCCAAGCTGGAAAAAATACTTTCTTTCTATTGAAAACAACCCTCCAGCCATGGTGGGTGACCTGAAACAATATAGTCACATTGTATATTAGATTTATATAGCACCAACTTGATACAGTACCGTATATCATAAATATAACACATTGTATTGGCTTCTTAATCAGCTGTATGCCTACGGCGGGTCATTCGAAACGGAGGTGTGCAGTTGAGTAAATGACTTTTCTCTCCAAAGTTGATAAACAATCTTGAATTGACATAATCAGATTTGACGTTACTTTTTTTCTCTCTTTCATTTATTATTGTATGTTTATATTTGGAAAACTGTTGGTTTCCCTTGGCCTTCTGTATGTTTTGTTATGTCGGGCGATATCAATGTCTCTGTTCTGTATTGTATGTGACCAACATGAGACTAACGCATTATAAGTCAAACTACATTACATTACATTAAATAAAAAAATAATTTTAAGAGAAATTGAGGAGGAAATGGTGAAATTAGTGTATACAGTATACGGAAGAGAGTGGGGAGAGCGTGGGTTACATACAGTCGATTTCCTTAGCGCTATACTCTACCTTAAAGCTTCCGTTGGATCATTATTGACCCGATCCATCTCCCGCTTTGGAGTATCTATCCAAGTGAAATCTGGATACCAAGAAAAGCCACCGATGGGAACGTTGCCACGAACTGGAATGTATTCAAACGTTTTATCACTAATAGTGTCGATAACTGGGCATACTACTTTGGTTCTGTTGAAGAATATTTAGTAGATATAATTATGCTTAGGCCTATTTATTTCTAAAATTTAGATTTTATAAATAATAAATAATAATAAAGCGGCTCTCATATCACGAGACTCGACCCACGTGCCTGTAAAATGTACTACACACTGTGCAACATAGCCGAACAAGAATATAAAACTAAGAATATTTATTTATTTTAGAAAGAATGGTGGGCCGTTGGGTAGTCTTTCTAAACCGTTAAATAAAAGTTGCTACAGACTGTAGGAAAATTAACAGTTTCTATCTTTTGTGGTATTATGAGGTCGCTATTTAATATAAAAGTTTCTATAAACGTTGAACTGAATTGCATATAGCCAGAGACCACGAATGTAATTTGGCATTCATAATATAAAACCCACATAAAATATTGAAATTGTTTTTAATTGGTGTGCTTACGACTTATATCTTAGAGTTAGATATGGAATATCATGTATTTAGGAAGTCAAATAGTGTACTGAACGTCATATTGGTTTATAGGCCTGTCAAAATTATCTGTTCAAACAATCATTAATTAAAGATGGGAACATATCAAAAGTATCATTTGTAAACAATCAAGAATAGCTCTCTGTGGAAGGTATAAATTTACTGCACGATAAATAAAGGTATATTGATCAATAATAATGCAAAAATATAATACAATACAATAATGCAATACCAATAAATATGTAATGACCTAATAGTAATAATAAATAATAATAGTGATCTCATAATAACAATAATTAATGTTAATATTATTATTAGGCCAATATGAATACCAATAAATATAATGGATCTCGTACCTGTCCTTGCTAATTCTATCTAAAAGAGGCTCTAGCCAGCCTTTGGTAGATTCACAGTGGGAATCTAGGAATGTGAGAACGTCACCTCTGGAAGCCAATGCGCCTTGTATTCTAGCACGAACCAATCCTTTCCGAGATCTTGTCCGTTCCACAATGACGCGCAAGGGTAAGGTGGCAACATACTCCTCCAACTGACGGCCTAGCCAATCTGTATAATAATATTTGAATTTAATAGATTAGTAAACATTGTTTATTTTAATTCATGATAACTCAAAATTGACAAATGAAAATATCCTGAGTGGCAGATGCTAGAGGATTAGAGACATAAGCGCAAATCATGGGGGCGGGGGGAACCACATATTTTTAAGGGGATTGGTCCCCACGTAAAAATGATGCCTGAAAGTGAAATGAACTGCATAAATGACCTAGGTTTTAACAGCTTGAGTACAGTACTGTACATCTAATAGGCCTAGGCCTATTATAGCAAGATACCGGTATCCCTAACGTCTCGTTAGTGCGCATGCTTTTGTTATAATTTGAGAAGTATGAGAAAATGTATAAGTTCGACACACGAAGTAGGTAAAATAAAGTGTAAATACATCAAAGACAATTAAGATTTATTTTCTAAAAAAAAAAATCGCTGATAAAAGATCATGGTGATGTTATGATAATGCCTTTTACTATAAAGGCCTAAGAGTGTCATTTTCCGGCCATCTATCAGTACTATTTCCCAAAATTTTCGCACCTCAGCCCCAACCATGGTGGGGCTGAGGTGGATGTGAGCTCACGGCTTTGAAGTAGGTAAAGTAAAGTAATTACATCATAGACAATATTTTAAAGTTTTATTTTCTATGGTACATCACATAGGCCTATTTTATAAGATTTCCAGGCCCATATCCAGAGGGGGTTTTACGGTTCGGGAGAACCCCCTTTTTCTAGCAAACCCCCCTCTTTTCTGGCGAAATCCCCCTCTTTAAATTTTCCAAATAAGTCCTCCAACCCAACTTATGCACTGCAGACCCACCCAGACACAGACATTTTCAAACATATCTGCTTTTATAATAGTACCGTATTTGTTAATGTTATGGCTCGGGCAAAAAATATTGTTGATGGGAAAAAAATCTTACTGAAATAAGTATCCGTCTGAGTTTTAATTTAATATTTAGTCATGATTTGATTCAAATCTCTATAGAATCCTTAATACGCATCGGTTGACATGCGTCCTATCTCTCTGAAACATCTGACACAAATTGTACATTTCATGTCTTGACAGCTGCCACTTTCATTGTCAACACAGAGATGGCGCGATAGAATTATTCTCGTTGCCAACGCGAATACTGTACATAAATTGATGACGCGTTTGATTACAATGTAGTTTTCCTGTTGTTTGAGTTGCTGTGTCTATGTCATTATTGAAAACATTATTGTAGACTTGTATAATCATTATCGTTTGTTTGAACTTTTTAACCCTGATGCCATTTGTTTTTAGTCAGTATGTTAGACCATAGAGCAAAGAAACAGATTCTTTGCTCTATGGTTAAACTTAATGTTTTATTTATAATAAATAATGTGTTGAGGTATTTCTAAATGTATCTACGCTATGTAAATTCCAGACAGTTCAATTTCAATTATATATTGGATAAAGATTATAACACTCATTTTTATATTTGTATCTTATACATAGGCCTATACTGAAATTATTAAATATTAATGGTAGATTTTGTCTAGTGTTAAATAATGAGATAGACAGATATCGCTATTTTAACATGCTCACTTAGCTAATGGAGCAGGTTTATGTCTAATGTCTATATATAAAAATATAATATACAAATATATAAAATGAGATTGATTTATATTATGAATACTTTACATTTCGAAGATTCACTGGCATCGTCCACAAGGATTATTTCCTCGAGTAACCCGGATGAAGACTGACTGATGACGCTGTGAACAGTTCGTAATAGCTGTCTCTTATACACATCTAGATGTGTATAAGAGACAGTAATAATAGTGATCTCATAATAACAATAATTAATGTTAATATTATTATTAGGCCAATATGAATACCAATAAATATAATGGATCTCGTACCTGTCCTTGCTAATTCTATCTAAAAGAGGCTCTAGCCAGCCTTTGGTAGATTCACAGTGGGAATCTAGGAATGTGAGAACGTCACCTCTGGAAGCCAATGCGCCTTGTATTCTAGCACGAACCAATCCTTTCCGAGATCTTGTCCGTTCCACAATGACGCGCAAGGGTAAGGTGGCAACATACTCCTCCAACTGGTGGCCTAGCCAATCTGTATAGTAATATTTGAATATAATAGATTAGTAAACATTGTTTATTTTAATTCATGATAACTCAAAATTGACAAATGAAAATATCCTGAGTGGCAGATGCTAGAGGATTAGAGACATAAGCGCAAATCATGGGGGCGGGGGGAACCACATATTTTTAAGGGGATTGGTCCCCACGTAAAAATGATGCCTGAAAGTGAAATGAACTGCATAAATGACCTAGGTTTTAACAGCTTGAGTACAGTACTGTACATCTAATAGGCCTAGGCCTATTATAGCAAGATACCGGTATCCCTAACGTCTCGTTAGTGCGCATGCTTTTGTTATAATTTGAGAAGTATGAAAAAATGTATAAGTTCGGCACACGAAGTAGGTAAAGTAAAGTGTAAATACATCAAAGACAATTAAGATTTATTTTCTAAAAAAAAAAAATCGCTGATAAAAGGTCATGGTGATGTTATGATAATGCCTTTTACTATAAAGGCCTAAGAGTGTCATTTTCCGGCCATCTATCAGTACTATTTCCCAAAATGTTCGCACCTCAGCCCCAACCATGGTGGGGCTGAGGTGGATGTGAGCTCACGGCTTTGAAGTAGATAAAGTAAAGTAATTACATCATAGACAATATTTTAAAGTTTTATTTTCTATGGTACATCACATAGGCATATTAATTAGATTTCCAGACCCATATCCAGGGGGTGTTTTTACGGTTCGGGAGAACCCCCCTTTTCTAGCAAACCCCCTCTTTTCTGGCGAAAACCCCTCTTTAAATTTTCCAAATAAGTCCTCCAACCCAACTAATGCACTGCAGACCCACCCAGACACAGACATTTTCTGCTTTTATAATATTACCGTATTTGTTAATGTTATGGCTCGGGCAAAACATATTGTTGATGGGAAAAAATCTTACTGAAATAAATATCCGTCTGAGTTTTAATTTAATATTTAGTCATGATTTTATTCAAATCTCTATAGAATCCTTAATACGCATCGGTTAAAATGCGTCCTATCTCTCTGAAACATCTGACACAAATTGTACATTTTCATGTCTTGACAGCTGCCACTTTCATTGTCAACACAGAGATGGCGCGATAGAATTATTCTCGTTGCCAACGCGTATACTGTACATAAATTGATGACGCGTTTGATTACAATGCAGTTTTCCTGTTGTTTGAGTTGCTGTGTCTATGTCATTATTGAAAACATTATTGTAGACTTGCATAATCATTATCATTTGTTTGAACTTTTTAACTCTGATGCCATTTGTTTTTAGTCAGTATGTTAGACCAAGAGCAAAGAAACAGATTCTTTGCTCTGGTTAGACTTAATGTTTTATTTATAATAAATAATGTGTTGAGGTATTTTCTAAATGTATCCACGCTATGTAAATTCCAGACAGTTCAATTAAAATTATATATTGGATAAAGATTATAACACTCATTTTTATATTTGTATCTTATACATAGGGTTATACTGAAATTAATAAATATTAATGGTAGATTTTGTCTAGTGTTAAATAATGAGATAGACAGATATCGCTATTTTAACATGCTCACTTAGCTAATGGAGCAGGTTTATGTCTAATGTCTATATATATAAATATAATATACAAATATATAAAATGAGATTGATTTATATCATGAATACTTTACATTTCGAAGATTCACTGGCATCGTCCACAAGGATTATTTCCTCGAGTAACCCGGATGAAGACTGACTGATGACGCTGTGAACAGTTCGTAATAGCGTACTCCAAGCCTCGTTATGAAACACAATAATGATGCTTGTCTTTGGAAGCGAAACTATTTCATACACTTTCTTACTACACCTATGAAGTGGAAAAATACGGTGATATTTGTAACATAGAATAGTCTATACAACTGTTTTGATTTATTTTTAATTTTCCCGTGACATATATTAGAACTCCCCTCCCGTGAGGGTGACACGCCCTTGAACATTTTTTTTTGCATTGGCAGGTGCGCCAAGGCCTACTAAACTTGAACTTTCAAGTTCTCTTCCTGTATAATCACATCAACATTCGATGAATAAATGATTGATTGAAAAAAGGAACGAACGAGTGACTGAATGAACGAATGAATGAAGAATGAATGAATGAATGAATGAATGAGTGAATGAACGAATGAAATAACAAACGAACGGACGAACAAACGAACGAACGAATAAATGAATTAATGAATGAAGGAATGAATTAATGAATGAAGGAATGAAATAATGAATGAATGAAATTAATGAATTTAATGAATGGTTGAATGAATGAATGAAATGAATGTATGAATGAATGAATAAATGAATGAAATTAATGAATAAATGAATGAATGAATGAATAAATGAATAAATGTATGAATGAATGAATGAATGAACGAACGAAAAAAAGAACGCATGAAAGAATGGGTTAATGGATGAATAAAATTAATGAAATGAATGAAGGAATAAATGAATGAACGAACGAATAAATGAATGGATGAATGACTGACTGACTAAATGAATGAATGAATGAATGAACGAATGGATAGATGCATTATTGAATGAATAAATGAATGAATGAATGCATAAATGCATGAATGAATTAATTAATTAACGAATGAACGAACACACGAACGAACAAATGAATGAACGATTAAAATTAATGAACAAATGAACGAAAAAAACGAACGAATATACAAATATGAATAAAATATTGTATACTGCACTGCCGTGTAACTTTATGTAACCATCGAAATAGAGGTAGAACTCCAATATATATACATATTGAGTGTTTTACGATTTTCAAAGAATCTCTCTTACTCTAATATAAGTTTCTAGCAATAATAAACTTTGTAATTAATCACATTTTATGCAATTATATCTTGACTTATACTTACCCTTCCGGTCTTACGTCGGGTAAACTTCTATTCAATGCAATTTTATTGCTTTCGAATACATTAAACTGATTTTCCTCAAACATAGTTTCCATTAAGTCTGTTTCATTGCTAGGGGTGATAGCAGGTTTTCCTTGTTCCCCAACCCCATTTGGGTGCCAATTTAGTAGAGAGTTCCTAGCAAGTTCAATCAGCCGCTGTGGTACTGTATGATTTAGGCCTAATTGCCAGCTATCTTGTTTTGTCAATTTGTGGAGCTCACTGTGCAGCATGTCAGAATTAATTAAGTTCAACTCGGTGTTGTTGCTTGTATATTTATTACCATGAACACTTACATGCTTATATTCTAGGCTGCCACTTAGGTTTGAAGCTATCGAGAGTCGATGAAATTTGGCGGAACTCGGATGCATCTGTTCCTTCTCTTGACTCATCAGTTCATGAGACCCATGGTCAGCGACATCCGACTCAATTCCCCCATTATTAATTTTGTCTTTTTGATTTGGTCTCCCTCTTCTATTAAATGCGTTGTCGGAAACATTAGTGCTTACTCTATTCGTATAATATTGTTCACTTGAGCTCATATCCCGATTTTGCAGAGAAAACATCGTAATTTCAGCTTCGTTTGTTTGAATATTATTCGTGATGAATATAAAAATAGTGATATCAATAATACACCAAACAAGTGATGTCACAAGTGCTGCTCGACAGTACCGTCGGAATTTTGATCTTTTCATGTTGTCTGCAAAACAATGAGATTATCAATAAATATCTTAAGGTAAAATTTCCAAAATGAACAAATATCAAGTCGACTGACTATAAGCTTTGACATGCGGCGTAATAATAGCCGCCTTCCAAGTTGTACGTCATCCTAGGACATAAAGTGCTCTTTTCAGCTGACTGAAGCGTTGGTAAACGACATGCTTTCAAAAATCATCCGTAGAAATGAGAACAAAGTAAAGCATACACCCTAGAGAAAAATGTTGATAATATAAAGACGTTGCTTACTAATGAGTACAAGACAGCTGACCTGTCGTGGGACGATGCGGATGATATGATCATGCGCATAATCAATAAATAGGTGCCTATACAGGAAGTCCTTGATAAACTTTATTTTCACCGAGACATGTTTCATTATAAGCTGGGACTATGGTATGTAGTTAATTATCTGAATCTTCATGCGATTTCTTAGAATGTGATAAAAAAAAATATTATGGTAAAGAATACTCTGAATAGTATATTGGTGATTTTCATTCAATAAAAAATAATGAATAAATGAAAGAAATCATTGAAACTGTTGAAATAATAATAGTAGCTCTATGGTTAAAATATTTTTCATTTTAATTTAGGAGATTCAATTTTCATTTCCCTTTCAACACACATTTTATTAACCCTACCCACCATTAAAACTAAGGCATTTTCTACTAGGTAGCTATATTGGAAAACAAAATTAAACCTCCTTGATTAGACCGTTAATTGTTTTAAAATTAATCGTCATTATTTGCTTTGAAAAACTTATAATGAATTGATAATCATATTTGATTGGTCTGTTAATTAATTGTTATTATCATCTCACGTTGGTCAACTACTACTGGCTTCCACTTTGTTTAAAAAAAATTATTAGTAATGTCTCATTTCTTATGGACAAACTTTTTGCCATTTCTAATGATCCTATAAAAACATTAAATCAATATAATTTCCTCCGTGAGTCTTTTTTGAAGTTTGAAAGATATTATATATCAGACATTCATGTTTAAAATCATTTCCTGTTGTCTGTTAGAGACATTTTCCCAGACGGCAAAACTAAACCTAATATCGCTTGTTTATCGTTTGTGTAGGCCCAGGTGATGAACACAGGCATTAGAGAATTGCCAGTTTAAGGGCCTACTATTTGTAATTATTTTTTATTTGCATTTTCTCGGTTGTCCTATATTATTTCTCTGTAAAGCGCATAGGAGCAATTTGCCATATGCGCTATATAATAATAATAATATACCATTATTATTTAATGAGGTACGGTATGTAATGATTCCTCTGTCATTAACTTGTTAATCTAGTATCTTGAACCATGGGGCATAAACTTATTACAATGTACAATTCAGTAGGCTGATTGAAATGATTCGCATATTGATTCGCATTTAATGAATACATCATCATTGCTTTAGCCAATAGGAGATACTAGTATTAAATAAAGTGCCAAGTACAATGCACATTAATTACAAGCCTACTCCAGTAGTTGTCAGTTTTACAAATTACAAGATAACACTGAATAAAATAATGAATGTAGGCCTAGGCCTATATAAATGTTCAACAATACGACAAATAATTACAGCGCTGACGGACAATACTATGGCATCTATATTTAGAGAATATCGTAAATGCACGAATAAGCTCCACGGCGCTAATAACATTTTTGGAGGCCTCAGTGTGGCGCTTATTTAGAGAGCGGCACTTATAAAAAAAAAATAATATTGGCGTGGGGCAGGGACGTAGCCAGGATTTTGAAAGCGGGGAGAAGTTATGCGTTTTACGTAGGACCCCAGCGGGGTCAGGGGGGCGAATCCCCCTGTGAAGTCGCGCACTCTGAACATTCTTAGGGGCTGTTTGAGACGATAAAGTGAAAATTACAATAGACGCATTGTAAATAAGCGCCAAAATAATTATATAATAAATCAACAGTGGCAGATCCAGGAATTCGAAAGAGAGGTGAACCAGGGAGGGACATTCACAGACTGAGTAACCACTCACCTCAGCCCCACAATGGTTGGGGCTTAGGTAAGAAAATTTATGATTAGGGCGTCTCTAGACGGCCGGAAATTACACTCTCGCACTTCAATTTGAATATATTTTTCTTTTTATTTTCTTAAAAAATGAAGGGGGGGGGGGGGGGGCCTTGAATCCACCCCTGCTCAAAACATTCTTTATCCAGAATAGTCATAATCACGAAAAATGGACATGAAAAACCAAATCACATCCTAAAACCAAACAGCAGTCAATAAGACATACATCAGGAGCCGACTCGATGGAGTTTAATGTCATACCCAGGGAAGGGCACAGATCTGTTTTGAAAGGCGGAGGGGGAGGGCATTTTGTGAGTCGACAACCACCTCAGCCCCACCATGGCTGGAGCTGAGGTGAGAAATTTTGAGGAAATAGTACCTCTAGATGGCCAGAAATGACACTTAATTAAAATTCATCATCATCACATCACCGTTATTCATATTGACTAATGGTGATGTGAAGACACTTTATTAAAATTCATCATCATCACATCACCATTAGTCAATATGAAGCGCCAAAAAAATTCTCATGATCTTTTATCAGGGATTTTAGACAACCATAGAGATCTTATTAATGTGTGTGAGATATACCACAGAAAACAAAGCTTAAAAACATTGCCTTTGAGTATGTACTTTACAAAAACGTGATTTCAGAACCACCTCAGCCCCACCATGGCTGGAGCTGAGGTGGAAACAATTTGAGGAAATAATACCTCTCAAGATGGCCGGAAATGACACTTTTATAAAGTAAAATTCATCATCATCATATCACCATTATAGTCAAAATGAAACGCCAACAAATTTCTCATGATCTTTTATCAGGGATCTACTTATCCAGGACAACTTAGGCCTAACTATAGCTTACTAAGCTTTAACTTTATATACGGTACTATATTATGATCAACAAATCACAACTTCTTTCGCATTTAGCACAATTTTCTTCACTTTTTATTGCTATTAATATTATTATCAATTATTACTATCGTCATCATCATCATCATTGTTATATTATTATTACTATTAGTAGTAGTATTATTAAACAAAAATTTAAAGAAACTTGAAAAAAGGATAAAAACGAAATTAAACCACAGTATCGCATTTCTATCTTAAAAGACCTGGCCAGAGATTTATGGATTTAAGATTTTTAAAAATCACGCTTAGGCCTATGTGTTCTATTAGGCTTATGTATAACGTTTACTGATGCATATTTACATGTTTTAGAAGTATTTATTTGAGTGATTCCAGGAAAGAATTTGTATTGGCTCAAGAATAAGCTTTGTACACTCTGTACAAAAAGGGGGGGGGGCGTACCCACGGCTCCCCCTCCCCCGGATACGTCCCTGGCGTGGGGCGTTCCATGCCCGTTCCCATGCTACATTATCTCACGTATTCCCGTAGTTCAGAAGGCCTATCATAGGTCCTATGTCATCATAAATAAACGTTTATAAAGAAACGCTGATGTCTTCATTGTGTTATTTATTCATTTAAACACTGTATAGGCCTACATTGTATTTAAAACCCTGTTCCTCAAACTGTTTCATTACACCACGGAGGAATTAGTAATTCCTCCATGATTACACACAGAATGCTCTCGATTAAGCGCCGCGGTACTTATTTGAGAGGAGCGGTTAGCCAAAAAAAAAAAAAAAAAAAAAAAAAAATCAGTTTTGGTGCGGCGCTTATTCGAGAGCGACGCATTCGAGCATTTAAGGTAAGAAGGCATGCAGCCATTTTAACACGTAGTACGGTAACATTTTAAAAGTCATCTGAGACTGTTGAGCATCATTTGTTTAGCTCAGATTTCGTATAGTGCAACATAATATAAGAACAGAGCTAATTGACGGACACAAAATCAAAGCAAATAGAATTGGCCCTTAATGCTATTCTTTTGGACTTTTATTCTCAAAATAAGTGCAGCTCTATGATTACTTGTTTAATTGTATGATGCTGTTTTTTATTATTTGTTAATTTTTGGTATCATTTTATGGAAAAAATAGTAAACTGTATTAAAATAAAAAATAAATTGTTCGTACCAGTTTAGTTAATAAGTTGATACGACACTACCTTTTGAACACAAAGTGATCTTTTTAAGACGTGTCCTTATAAGCTATAGTGTCATACAAGTCAGTAACACAATTATTATTTGAAAAGCATGTTATTCATCAAGTAGGCCTATGCAATATTATTTAGAAATCATACGATTTCATGTCATAGACCCATAGTAACACAGAATCTTAACGATACATTTTACTGTATGTTTGAAGATTAAACAAACAAAATCGCAACACTGTGTGGGATTGTCGTTATTTCTCAGTACTTGACTTTTCTAAACGATTACCGTACATTGCATTCAAATAATAAAAAGTGAGTATATCGCACGTATTCTGTCATCATTAGGAATTTTTCTGTCCTTTGATATTAAAACATCATGAACATTGAATTTAACTAAACGATTATATCCTCCATAGCTGGATGTTAGCCAACATCTTATAAACAAGCATCGTCTGAGATGGACCGGCCCCGTCATGAAACTCTTCTCTAATGTGTGTAAATATGAACTACTACTACTTAAAAAATAAAAAATAAAGAATAACAATAATAATATGACAACAATCGACTAGAAATCAAGGCGCAATTATTACGGTAGCTTCGTGTACTTCTGAAATATCCTGTGTCGGAATTCTAATTACTTGCTAGGCTTCTGAACATCTTGGCTGGTTGGTTTTAGTTGGGTCTTGGTTGATTTTTATTTAAAGAATTACAATAATATAAAAAAATATGTAATCAAGAGGTTCTAAGGGAGGTGGCTGCCGGCCCATATAAATTCCGTGACCACCCTGAGTACCTGATAAGATCATCATATCATCATCATCATCATCATCATCATCATCATCATCATCATCATCATCATCATCATCATCATCATCATCATTATCATCATCATCATATCATCATCATCATCATCATCATCATTATCATCATCATCATCTTCATTATCATCATTATCATCATCATCATCATCATTATCATCATCATCATCATTATCATCATCATCATCATCCTCATAATTATTAATATTGTTGTTATTGTTATTATAATGTTGTTATTATAATGCAAAATTCATATTTCTGTGATATTTTTGGTGATAGTTTTAAAACAATAAAGAAATTAATGCATATGAATACATTATACAGTACTAGGGTTTCATGAAATGAAGACTGTGTTATAACAATAAATAGAGAGTGAAAGTGCTGATTAACTGTTTCATTGGGGATCAGACTCACTAAAACAATTTCCTGTAAATGTCGCTATCGCCATTACCTGGTATTGACTGTTCTAGGTGATCACTATATCTCGGCTATCTTTTCGAGAATGTACGTGATCCAAATTTCGGTGGAACACAATTCAGAAAACTCAAAAATCGAGTTATATGTGAAGCCCTCAACACATCCATAGCTTTTTAGGGCTAGGGAAGAGGAAAGACTTTATTAATGATCTCCTTTTCACTCCCACACCAATTTTTCTAACACTAATAATAGTAATATAATGAAAACGTTTTCTGGGGATTTACTTTAATAGTAATATAATGTAAACGTTTTCTGGGGATTTACTTTAAAAACCCTCAAACGCAAAGGGGCTCATGTTTTTCAAGATTTCGATTATAAAAAAAACCTGATTTTATGGATTAAAAACTGTCTAAAATCGATTTATATAAGCAAAGCACTCACATTCCTAACTTTTTAGGGCTAGGGAAAGGTAAGACTACTTTATTAAGGATCTCCTTTTCACTCCCAAACCAAGTTCCTTGTAATCTAATGAAAACGTTTTCTCGCGATTTAGTTAAAAACCCCTCAAACGCAAAGGGGCCCTGATTCAAGCTCAAAGTCTAAACGTCTGTGTCACAAAGTCTATGAAGTACAATGACGTCACGTCTGCCTACATCCGCTTCTTGCGCAATCCCCGCGCCACTCGGAATTCTTTGTACAGCAGCTGAGACGTGGTACGCATGTTATTACATTAAAAGCCGGTAGAAAATAATTAGTAAGTGATATTATTCTAAACATTTATAAACATATTTTCTAGATGAATAACTAGCTACGAATGCTGCCATTAAAATTAACCACAGTGTTCTTAATTATCTGGAATTTGAAGAGTGTAGGCTAGGCCCAGCCAGCTAGGCTAGACTTCCTGAGAGTCGAGACTGTTATTCGGCCCCACAGCTCGTAGTTTGTTGCTGGGAACTCAGTTCTCCCAGCAGGCCAAGTGTGTATGTTAGTTTGACAGTTCATTATGAATCAGTCAGTACACTGTGCAGTAGTAATAATAGGGTGGTACATACATAGTCAGGGTGTTAGACAGTTTCGGCCGTGATTAACAATCGAATTTTTTGGTAAGCCTATTTTAATAATAATAAATATATTAAATGTCGAACCTTTTTTTTTGGAAGAAGACACAATCTTGAATCTTTTGTTTGGAAGGCAACATTGTCTTGAACCTTTTGAAGCAGAATTTCATGTTGTTATTACTTTTGCATACATTAAATTAAAGACACACAAGCACTTTATTTACAGACTAACAGATTTTATTAATGCAGGGGCCCTGTCAACCACACAGTGACATATTTATCATCTAGCTAGACTAACACAACTACCTTTTCTGCTTCATCATGCTGCACATTCATGTACTGTAGAACAGCCTGTACTGTAAGGAAGTGTGAAAGTTGTAGGACTACTCATGTTTGATTGTTTTGGCCATGATGCATTTAACACTCAGAAAATGAATCATGTTTTATTTGTCTTAAATTATTATCAATAGTATATGTTTATGATATAAGTTAGAAACAAATATACTACCTTATCATATCAGTGACTAGCAGAAGTTTTAAGTTAAATTTGGGATTTCACTCATTATTTTTAACAGACATACAGTAGGCTTCCCTTGTGTGGCCTAAAATTGACTTTTAAAACAAATTGCATGAAGCTATTTTACAAATATCTTAAACATACAAAATTTAATGTGTACAAAAAAGACATATTTAATAATAATAAAAAAATATATTTATATACAGCTGCTGTACAAAATATATTTATACATATATATTTAGTTGGTGATGATGAAGTTTAAAGACCTTGTTTCAACTGCATTGGAGATTATGACGCAGGACATAATGGTCAATGGGGAAAACAGCCTGTAGAATTCTGCAGAGCAACATCTCTTAAAATATAGGATCTACAGTATAGACTGACATTAACTATATCAATGCTAAGCTGTAGACTATAATACTATTCTTAATGTTTTACAAATTATTATAGAATAATTTTACACTTTATTCATTTAAATCCTGATACTTGGACCATGTATTATATACTATCTTATCAGTGGACCTTTCGGTTATTCATTTAAGGATAAAGAACATTAGACAGAGTAAAAAACCATCAATCATTCTTCAAACTGAGGTGCAATACAACTTCTGTATTTACTATTTTAAGTAATATTTGTAATGATTATAGTAACTTCCAATGTACATTTTGTTGTTTTTTAAAAATACTGTATACCTATTTAAATTTTGTAATGTTTTTTGTAGTATTTTTGTATATGGTTTGCCAACAAAGGTTTTAAGTTAAATTTGGGATTTCACTCATTATTTTAAACAGGCACGCAGTGAGTAGGCTTCGCTTGTTTGGCCTCAAATTGCATGAAACTATTTTACATTATCTTAAGCAAACATAATTTTAATGTGTACAAAAAAGACATATTTAATAATAATAAAAAAATATATTCACTCTCAAAGTTGGTGGTGATGAAGTTTAAAGGCCTTGTTAGAGATTATGACGCAGGATATAATGGGCAGTGGGGAAAATGGCCTGTAGAATTCTGCACAGCAACATCTCTTAAAATATAGGATCTACAGTATAGACTGACATTAACTGTATCAATGCTTAAGTTGTAGACTATAATACTACAGTATTCTTAATGTTTTACAAATAATTATTGAATAATTTTATGCTTTATTCATTTAAATCCTGAGACGATGGTGTGCATTTGGACCATGTATTACTGTATACTATCTTATCAGTGGACCTTTCGGTTATTCATTTAAGGATAAAGAACATTAGACAGAGTAAAAAAGCATCAATCATTCTTCAAACTTAGCCCACTAGCACTCCTAACGATGCCTTCTGAACAAGCTAAGCGTCGTCAAGCCAAGAAGAAATCAGCTGCAAAGCAGAAGGGTGGGGCACGCAAGGAGAGTATTATATCATTGAATGGAGCCACCAATGGTAAGTAACAATGAAGGCGAGAATACTTTACAACTTCAAATGCACTTGAAACAAGATACAGGAACAAATTTGAAAAGGCACAATACAGCATGACATCACATTGATCTATACAATTCTGGCTGTCTGTTTGTTCTCTATTTTCATTTCTCATAAAACATTAGAATTGAGAAAAGCAATGATAGGTATAAATTTAGAAGATTCAAACATGACAAAGGACTCTTCAGAGAAAAACATTTATTGAATTTAATGTTATTTCTGCCTAACAGTAATGTGGTAAATTATTTGGCCATTATTAATATCAAAAATTTTTTGATATAGAAATAGCATGGCATTTGTTTTTGATTATGTAAGATAATTAGGCTACTTTTTTGTTTTTAAGGTAATGGTGAAGTAAATGGAATAACTAAAGATTTGGGAGACTTGGATATAGACACCGGCAGATCATGCACAGGCGTATTGGCTTCACATGCAAGTGGGCGTGATTTGAAAATTATCAACTTCTCCTTAACATTTCATGGGGTTGAGTTGTTTGGTGATACTACATTCGAGTTGAATTGTGGTAGAAGGTACGGTCTTATGGGGCCAAATGGATGTGGTGAGTGTTTTAGAATTTTATTTCTAAAATCTATTCTTATTTATTTAAAGTTTTAAATAATAATAACCAGCAAGCTAAACTGGTGGTAGCCACTGTAGGTGCACTGAACTGTGGAGATCTTTAGGTCCCTGGTTCAAATCCTATCGCTGCTCTGCTTGTGTGTCTGCTGAAGGGCTGAAATGCAGGATGAAACTTTTAAGATGTTGGTCCCATGTGCAAAATGGCCTATGTGCTTGTTAAAGAACGCAGTACACTCTTTGGAAAAGAGTAGGGGATTAGTGTACTGCCCAATTCACCAGAAGGACCCAACTGGAAATAAGTCTCTGAACTGTCTATTATCTTTGGTGTGTATCCAGTCCAAGCAAATCAGAATAAAATACTTTTATATTTTCTGTTGATTCATGTAGGTAAATCTACGTTCCTGAATGTCATAGGCAAACGTGAAGTTCCAATCCCAGATCACATGGATATATTCCACCTGACGTCGGAAATTGAGGCAAGCGAGAAGACTGCATTGGATTGTGTGAAAGAAGTAGATGAGGAAAGAATAAAGCTGGAGAAAGAGGCGGAGGAAATTGCACATGATGATGGAGATGGTAATGAAATCATCATTATTTATTTCTATTGTTTCCTTTCTACTGTGTAACTATTTTTAGAGGCAGTATGTAAAAAACCAGTAGAAGTGGTTTAGCTACCCTAGGAGGCTCCAAACCTCCTCCTTTTATGTTTATAAAGTTTACAAAGTCATTGAAAAAACAGTGCCGATGGGCAGTCTGTCCTCATCAGATGGAAATGTTGAGTCGCATAGGCTTCGTTCCAGTGACTGGGTTAGAGCGCTATATTACAACCTACATATTTTTTATTATTATTAAAAATATATTGAAACTCTGCTTTTATTTAGTTGTTTATTAACTTAACATTTAGTCATTTTTAGATACAAAATTAATTTTCTAGTCTTAAGGAGCTGATAATTAAGTTTGTATCATCTCCTCATCATGATCTCTACTGCTATGTTCCAAAGTATAAAACGTTGGGCTATTTTTACAAGGGTCTCAGTCTGTAAATCACATTTTCTATTTGTACAGTACCGCAAAACCTCGATTAGAAGCCCCGGGGGTTTTTTAAGCGAACTTTGGATGGGCTTCTTTTCAAGGCTACATTTGCAAAGTAAACAGAGGAGACTTTTTTTCAAAATGAATGCTGTAATTTTTTGGAAATTACTACTATAAAACAATAAAATAGGGCAACTGTAATATCAGTCTGTGTCATACAGTGTATTATTAACTGGCATGAAATCACCTAATCTACTGTATAAAGCAAGCATGTTTTTAATTTATACCGTTTTTTTTTTTTTTTTAATTCATGTATAGTGTATGCACTGTATCTCGAAAATATGCCCATGCTATCTTGAAAGTTATTTCGAGGGTGCTTTAGAAAATTAAAGAGGGGGCTTCAAGTCGATGGGCTTCTTCTTGAGATTAGGCCCACTGGGCTTCTATTCGAGGTTTTACGGCATTCCTTGCTTCATTTACCTTTTTGTTCCTATGACTGTAAGTTGACAAAGTGAAGCTCATAGACCCTTGACGCAGGGTTCCCGAAATGCTGCCCTCAGCGGCGAGTGCGAAGCACAAATCAGGGTCAAAAGTGGAACGTGAAATTTGGATATGTTTTCGTAGTCAGATTTGCGAGAAAAACTTCAGCTACCCGTATTTCTTGACTGAGACGTCTGTGGGAGCTGTAATTTGTATGGCAAGGAGATTGTGCAACCCTAAATTCGTATTAAGGGAATTTACGCCCAGAAACCTTGTAGTTATTAATATTTTGGTTATAATAGAAAATATTCATTTTTTGGTGACGCCACACTCACAATATAGTTAGCATGCATACTGTACGTCATAAGCTAGATTACGTCACCTTTTCCTGGTAAGGCAAACTATCCCGGCATGCTTTTTTCATGGATAAACAAACACCACTGCTTTGCACATGAATGCCTTGTCCTAGCTAGGGATACAAGAGCCGCATTGTTAGCATTGTATAATACGTACAAGGTACCTCTGCAACTGAATTATTCTTAGTTATTTGTTTTTGTTTTTTTTAAATTTAATTTTAATTTATTTCTTTCGAAAGTGTACTTTCTATCACAATTTATTGCACTGTCTAGGCCTAACCCTAGTCTTATTATGTATGCCTCATCGTCATCCGCTACACAGTACATCAGTAGCGCCCCCCCCCCAATACAGTACAGACGTTTGCTGGGCAACAACGTGATTGAACCTTCCTTCACAGGTGTTCACGTATTGGCATATTGTTAGCTAACCAGTTGTGTGTATTTCTTTGTGAAAATGAGTACCGCGGCGTACTCATTTCACAAAGCATTTGCATCCCCTCTTGGAAAGAGGGAACTTCAAAATAATTCACTAATTAAATTAATCACCGTAATTTAGCTTACCCTTATGAATTTAGCTAGCGCTTAAAATGTACAATAATCATTTCACTACCCGACAAACTCCAAACTTTATTCATTTGGCCTACATTAAAAGTTTCATCTTGCTGTACTATATACTCCAACATCACTGGTTCATGTAACAACCAACTGATGAAGACCACTTTATTCATTTTTGCCTACATAAAAGTTTCATCTTGCTGTACTATATACTCCAACATCACTGGTTCATGTAACAACCAACTGATGAAGACCATTTCCAGTCACATATTACTCTCCATAACACAGCACCCCCTAGTTCCGTCACCTCTGGGTAGTATTGCATATCCACAATATAACACTGTTGATGTATAATTTTGATTTTATCAGAGGCACAAGAGCGTTTGTTGGATATATATGATCGACTTGAGGAGCTTGATGCAAGCAAGGCTGAGGTGCAAGCGGCACGCATTCTGGATGGTTTAGGATTCACTGCCGGTATGATGAACACTAAAACCAAAGACTTCTCTGGAGGCTGGCGAATGAGGATAGCCTTGGCGAGGGCGCTGTTTATACGACCGCATATACTTTTGCTTGATGAACCTACAAACCATCTAGATTTAGAAGCCTGTGTCTGGCTAGAAGAAGAGCTTAAGTTGTAAGTGACAATATTTTTTTTATGATTTGTTTATTTCAATAGTGATTTGTGAGGGTATTCGATCCAGCCAATCTGATCATTTGGGATCCTCAATACATATAAAGAATTAAAAGTAGATATATAACAAACAATAGCTAAATTATATTGATTATAAATTAAAACTGAAAAAACTTAAGGATTAGACTATTGTTGAACTGTATAAATCCGAACTGGATCCAGAATCACTGTCACTTTTCAACAATCGGCATTAATGAATCCATAGGAAATGGCATGGTATAAATGATTGTAGATTGATAATTATTATTTACTAATGTTATTGAGTGATGAGAATTCTAGAATACTAAATCTGTTGAATTAATTCTAAAATAGAAGCTTTACACTGATTTGTCACAAAAATATTTATTAAGTTTTTAAATAATTTTATTTCAGATATAAACGTATATTGATTTTAGTGTCTCATTCACAAGATTTTTTGAATGGTGTATGCACCAATATAATTCACATGCACCGTGGAAAATTCCAGTACTATAGTGTAAGTTTGTATACTTTTTCAAATGTTAACGTCACTAAACTCAAACCATAAATGAAATAAATTTTTATAACATCAATATTCAATGATTTTAATCATAATGTAAGATATTGATATCATTTTTTATGTAAATAAATTTAACTTTGAACATACCAATCTGATATTTGTTTGAGTATGTTAATAAATCTTTATTAATGTTTGCTTGTTTTTGTAGGGTAACTATGACCAATATGTTCAAACTAAGAATGAATTGGAACAGAATCAGATGAAGCGTTATAATAGAGAACAAGAAGAAATTGCTCATATGAAGGTTGTTACTTATTTAATTATATTATTTTTATTGTCATATAATCCCACAAACCACCAAATAGAAAATGATCTATTTTTTAGCAATTTGATTTATTATTATTTTTCTTGTATTAAATCTATGTCTCGATGTCAACTTTTTTTTGCAATAATATGTTGTTAGTATTTTTTTATTTGAGAGTTGTAAACTTGAAGAATGATGACACAAAAGGCCGAATTACAGCGCCCTCTGTCATTGAGGGAGCAGTGACAAAAACTCCTGAAGCGAATTATTTGATCTGACTTTAAAGCTTATTTTCTCTGCATGATATTATAAACTCACAAAAACTGCTAATTATGAAGGGATTGAACAACCCAGTACCCCACGATGAGTGATATTGAGGATACAACTAAAATTATTTAAAAAAAAACATTATTTGTTTATCTTAACGTAGTAATGAATTCCCTGTAACCAAATTAAAGAGTACTTGAATGTGTTTTGTTGTAGGATTATATAGCAAGGTTTGGTCATGGTAGTGCTAAGCTAGCTAGACAAGCACAGTCCAAGGAGAAGACTCTAAGTAAAATGGTTGCCGGTGGACTCACAGAAAAGGTGTACGCAGATAAAGTAAGAAATCCTTGTTGGAAATAGTATATTTTTATATCAAGAAAGCAGATGGTATAATACGTATCATAATTCTATTTTTTTTTATTATTACATGAAAAAAACAGGATGATGTAATATGTACTTGCATTAACTACTTTCAGCTGATGCTCATTTTTCTAGTTGAGAGTAGTGTAGAAATAGAATGACAAATTATAAGGAGCCTCACTTATTTAACAAAAACTCATTCATTGTTTTTCTGATTTCCCATACTCTAAAAAAAGATATTTAGAATTGTCTGGAAAAAAATCATTTGTGATATTTTACTTTAAAAATGTAGTTGATGAATTTTTTAATCTTTTTTTTTGTTTACAGTCTGTGAGCTTTTACTTCCCAGCATGTGGAAAAATCCCACCCCCAGTTATAATGGTAGAGAATGTCAGTTTCAAGTATGCTGAAGATAAGGTATGGGCTGGAAATTATGACACATTTTTTTCACTAAATTTACATTTTTTTGTAATTTGTATCATAATGAATTGCAAACATCAGTTGGTAATAACAATAATATAATTTGAAGCCTAAAATGTGTATTCCCAGGTTTACACTGTGTGTCTCATTAATAATTCATAGCGTATATTCTGGTGTATAAGCCGCAAATTTTATACACGATTTTCCCCCGAAATTTGGGGCACCGCCTATACACAGGTCATTAACCTACTCCCAAAAAGTTCAGATCGCGAGCTGCGGCGAAAATTAGGCGCCGTCTGTCTAGGTTAGGCCCATGCTAGCCCAATTAATGCTAATTTTTCCATTTGAGACTTAAGTAAGCTTATAAGAATGATGACACAAAAGGCCGAATTACAGCGCCCTCTGTCATTGAGGGAGCAGTGACAAAAACTCCTGAAGCGAATTATTTGATCTGACTTTAAAGCTTACTTCTCCCACATGTTATTCAAAACTCTCAAAAACTACTGATTATATAGGTTTCTACTTTATTTACACTAAACAGATTATACAACCCAATTTGACGCAAGGAATGTTATTGGGAGTGCAACTTAAATTGGCTTAATTTGCCAAATAATATATGTTTATGCCAAATTCTTTGTTTATTATCTTTATTCTTTATGAATATTATTATTTGATATTTGAACATTTAATAATTTGTTATTTAGGTACATGGGATTTGCATATTGAACTTAATCATTGAGTGCGATTCTGACACATGACAGAAATTGATCCCAGGATTCTGGGATAGGAAGGCAAGCACCATATCCACCAAGCTTCAACTCTACTCCAATAATCATTAAAATTGTACTTTGGTTGCATTTTTTTTTCTTTCATTTACAGCCTCATATATACAAGAATCTTGAATTTGGTATTGATCTAGACAGTCGAATAGCTTTAGTGGGGCCAAATGGTGCAGGAAAGTCCACGCTGCTTAAATTGATAGTAGGAGACCTGTCTCCTACCAACGGACTTATACGAAAGAATTCTCATATTAGGTTCGGTAGATATCATCAGGTAAGGCATTCATTTATTAGAATTATTGTTGTTTTCATTATTACCGTTAATTTTAGTCAATGTGCACTAACCAATATTAATCATAATGTGTATTTTTACTTTTTTATCTATAGCTAAGACTGTATTATATGTGTTTCTGTTAGTATACAGTACTGTCTCTGTGATCAATAGAAAACAAAAATAATATTTTAAAATTTAATCCAGAATTTACAAACGTCCTTCCCACTAACTTATTTTTAAACAAATTTGCTGTTAATGTTAAAGTAGTTGTATTTATTTTGAAATATTTACGTTCATGGTAATTATTCCAACCGAGTGATCCAAATCATGATCAATGACACTGTTAAAGGCATAAGATCTAAATATGTTGATGATATTTCTTTTTATAAAAACAAGATAACACAGCTAGGTCACTTACAACATGACCGTAATGATTTTTATGATTGGTGTTGCCTTAATTCTATGGACCTTAACCCTAGTAAATGCCAGGTTATACAGGTTTGTTTCAGTAAGAAAGGCATCCCCGAAAATACATTTTCTATTGGTAGCAATGATTTAACGTCTGTCACAAAAGCTAAAATACTTGGTGTTGTAATACAAAACGATTTAAAGTGGGACAACCACATTAAGGATATCATTGCCAAAGCCAATAAGAAACTTTTTCTTTTAAGGAGTCTAAAAAAATTTGGTTTCTACAGTCACGAGTTGAACTCAGTTTTTTGTGGGTATATTAGACCCTTACTGGAATATGCAGATGTACACCCTGCATTAACCAAAAGTCTCAACAACTCCATTGAATCTGTTCGACGCAGAGCTTGCCGCACTATTATGGGTAGGGACTTTAAATCTCCCACGCCTTTCTGTTAGGAAAGTAGAACATTGTATTAATTTTGCCCTTGACTACTCATTCCGTTGATCTTCTGCCGGCGACAAGTTTTAAATGTCATGGCAGAGCGCTGTGGAGTTGTAATAACCTATCTCGGTTACCAATTAAAACAGTTAGATATGCCAACAGTCCCTTACCATATTTTATATGTCTGCTCAATGCATAAACCCTGGTGATGGCTATAGTAGTTTTCTGTATTTTTCTCGCTTTTTTTTTTTTTTTTTTATAGTAGTTTTCTGTATTTTTCTCGCTTTTTTTTTTTTTTTTTGTGCTTGTAAAATTACACGCAATTTGGCCATTGGCCACAAGTTGTAATTGTTTTTACCTGATGGTTTTGAACAAGTATATATATCAAGTAAATACCTAAGCTTAAAGAATGATGACACAAAAGGCCGAATTACAGCGCCCTCTGTCATTGAGGGAGCAGTGACAAAAACTCCTGAAGCGAACTATTTGGTCTGACTTTAAAGCTTTTCTCCCATATACAACTGTAGTATCAACTTTACAGGGAGGCATAATATCATCTGCCTTAGAATAAGCATGCATCTTATATGAAGTCCTTTGGAAATAAACAGCTGAAAACAACTAATATTTGTTTTTCTTGTGAATGGTATAAAACAGCTTTACAAAATTTTGGCTCTAAACACTTCATATATAAATCACAGAGACTTAACTACAGTATCATGTAATCGCTGGTTGGCGTCGGCTGGGTGTAATCAGCACTAGCATTTTTTAACTGGGACTGAGAGCAAATTTTAAAAATCAGACCGGCACAAAATGTGTGTAAACTTTAATTGAAATATCAGTTAAATATGTCACTCACATAATATACCATATATTCCGATGTGGAAAGTCGAAAATTTGGTCCCGAAATTCGGAATGCAGCCTATTTTACACTGGTTATCAACCTATTCTTACTTCAAAACAATAGTGTACCAATGAGGTTGTGAAAACGCACATGATTGTATGTGCGATGTCCAGTCGGATCGCCGAGACGGTGGTTCGTACTAGTATAAATAATAAAATATACTGCTATGAGCCTATGGCATATACATATTTCTGAATAAATTGTGAAAACGGTATGTGAAAATATGGTGGGAGAGAGGTGGGAGAGCTCTCTAAATCATAAAACAGCTAAAACCTTTTAGGCCTGTAACTCTATTAACCTCTTGACTTGTTTTTTTTTTCCAAGCATTTACAAGAAACTTTAGACATGGAGATGAGTGCTCTGGATCATATGCTTAAAGAATTCCCAGATGAAAAAGACCGGGAACAGATGCGGAAAAGTATAGGAAGATATGGATTAACTGGAAAACAACAGGTAAGAAAACGGTAGAAGCTGTGTATTACCATAGAAACCAAGAATAGCAGTGGTTTTGTGGTTAAAGTGTATGTATTCCAATCCAATGGTCCTAGGAATTCAATCGTGGAAAAAATATATATATATATATATATATATATATAAATTCAGTAGGCCCTAAGCCAAACATGTAACTTATTGCTGCGAAGCAACCAATTCATATTCTTGACAGCAATTTGACCCCTGAAAGGTCATTATTTGTCAAAAAACAAGGGCCTAAGACGATTGAAAAGCGAAGTTTTGTTCTGCCGGGTAAAATCAATTACTTTAGGCGACGTTTGTAGACTAACCAACACGTACCAACGTCCGCATGTCGTGCTAGCCTTATCCTACTCTAGGCCTAGACTAGCTAGGATGGTATAGCTTAGCCTTGAAGGGACGAAGGTCCCAATGAAAAACAACGTCGCTGCTTGATAGCTAACATTTTCTATTTAACATC